TAAAAGTATGATAGCACCAGTATATATAGTTCACGGGGTCCTGGTGCGTCACTGTAGGATAAATACTGGACTGCTAACTATAAGATCAGTGATTCAAATCCACCAGCCATTCCTCAGAACCCCTATATGGGCTCGCTATGAGTTGGAACTGACTCGATGACACTTACCAACAGTATAGTTCATGCTGATTATATTAGTAGTATAGGACATCAGTTTAACTGGAATTTAAAAATGGGAAGAGGGGAGAGCAGGGTGGCTATTTAGAGTGTATCCTTGAGTCTGTTCTGAGTCAGAGTAACTGTATTGCGTTTCTGAGGAGCGGCTGGTGGGTTTGAACCGTCTTTCTTGTGGTGATCAGCCCAGTGCTTATGCTACAGAACCACACCAAGATTCCATCTATGTAGAATAGAAAAACAACAAATTGTAAAATTAGACCAATTACAAGTATATAGAAAATAAAGCTGACTGTTTTAACTCTTGAAATTTCTGAATAGTTCAAAAAACAAGGCTAAAAAATATCAGTTGCTTCAAGTTTATGTTTTGGTTGTTTGGTATTTTAATTTTGCTTAGGACAGTTGTTTATTTCTTATTTGCATATGTATTTTTGGAAAGGCAAAAAATGAAAAACCACTACTGTTATAACTTGGATCAAAGAGACGCTGAAAATAGATCAATTTATCTTTAAGTTGTTGTTGTTCAAGTGCCACGGAGTCAGTTCTGACTCATAGTGACCTGTCTAGGGTTTCCGAGGAGCAGTTGGTGGGTTTGAACTGCTGACCTAGAGGGAAGGCAATAGGAGAATTTAAGAATGTATTGATTGAAAAAAAGATCTATGTTATTACTTGATTTTTTTTTTTCCTTTCGGGGAGTTAGATCATTTCTTTCTAAACAAATCCAGCTCGATTATAAACTAAACAGTTTATTTTCTGCCCAGCAGCAAAAGTTACACTCTCTGCTGGGCTTTAGGGCCGTATTCACCTGAGTAATTACAAGTATCAACATGCTGACAAAGCCCTGGGGGGCATCTCTGTAATGTCCTGTGACCTTTTAAAAAGGAGTACACACACATGAAACCTGTAAGGTCAGAAAAAACTTGATAGAAAATATATCCATCATCCACTACCCAGAGATAGTAACCACGGTTAATGTTCAAAGATTCTTTTAGACCCTTTTTTCTTAATACTTTATACTTGTTGTTGGTGGTGATATGCTGTGGAGTCGGTTCTGACTCATAGTGATCCTGTATAGGGTTTCCAGGGCTGTAAATATGAGTGCAGAATGCCTCATCTTTCTCCCATGGGATGGCTGGTAGTTTCGAACTACCAGTTTTGACGGTGAGGTTATGAGCCCAACTGGTAACTACTACGTTACCAGAGAGCTTTACTTAGCTAAGATTAAATTTTGTACTCTGATTCTCTCTCCCCATTTAAAATGTTATAAGTTCCCAGGATACTAAACACTATGCAAAAGCACAGAGGTGAATGACTCCAGTGATAAGATTTTCATGGCCGTACCAGGAGAGGAGTCCTGGTGTGGCACTGTAGAATAAGCACTGGATTGCTAACCTCAAGATCAGCAGTTCAAATCCACGAGCCACTCCCTGGAAACCCTATGTTGTTGTTGTCAGGTGCCATCGAGTCAGAACCGACTCATAGCGACTCCATGTACAGCAGAACAAAACAATGTCCAATCCTGGGCCAACCTCACTACTGCTGTCACACTTGACGCCATCAGTGATGCCACCTAGCTGATCCATCTCGTTGGGGGTCTTCCTCTTCTTCTCTGACCCTCCATCTTACCCAGCATGACATCCTTCTCCAGCGACTGTTCTCTCCTGACAATATGTCCAAAG